CCCTCCTGGCTGCCTGAACCAGCTGCCACAGGAGAGCTGTTAGGTGATCTCAGTCCTGCCTAGCTTTTATTTTGGTGGTTAAGTTACTCTTCTAGACACCATCACAATGTACACCCCCTTTTTTAAAAACAGAATCAAGGATACTATCTTTCAGTTAGCTACACTGGTTCAGGTAGCTGTTTCCCTTCTGCTACACATGTGCCCCAGAGAAACAGAATTGCTCAGGAATCATGTTAAATGTCAGATAAGCTCTGAAATGTTAGCTGCAGAAAAAGTACAACTAGCAGGTGTTTCACACTGAAGGAGGGACTTTCCAGCTTTAGCCCACTAGCTTTATGATTAGGGCATTTGCTTAGAGAGCAGGAGACCCAGATTCTACTCCCCTCTTTAAAATGACCCACTGAGCAGTCAGGAAGGGCTCACAAGGAATGCCTAGCCTATGGCTTAGTGGTCAGAACATTTTGCTTGGACTAAAAAGATGCAGGTTTAAACCCATTCCAGGTAAGGGAGGCCTAGAACCTTGGTCTTTCACTCACTGGCAAGTGCCATACCCATTAGTTTAAAAGGTGGGAGAACTAGCAGCTGCTGCCATCACCCTACTTCCAGCAGATGCATGTACAGGGCAACCCTATTCTACCACATGTGCAAACAGTGGTATATAGTGTATAAGTGTTAAATATGACAGTTATGCAGCTACATAATCGCCACGTAGGCAATGTGTCAATATGACAAAGAATTTAGCCCTAAGCCCTTAGATGTCTGGCAGGCAGAATAAGATCTTGGTCTCAGTGTCTAGACCAGTGGTTCTCAACCTTTTTGGACTTGAGACATCTTTCACTGGAGTTGAAGAACCCCTCCATAACTTTTGTGAATTGTGTCATACACAATTAAAAAAAACCCTAACACATATACCATATTTACTCAAATTTAAGATGAGGGTCCCTCTCCCAATCAATCGTAGATTCACATACAAAGCACACAAGGAGCTGGGGGGGAGGAGAAGTGGGGATGGAAGAAGACAGCACAGCAAACAGCTGCTGCAGGTCTGATTCTGGCCCTAAACCCAAGTTGGGGCCAGAGTCAGACCCACAACAGCTGTCTGCCCCACCACCCTCTGCAGCTTCCTCTCCTCCCTCTGTCCTCTTCCCCCCACTTGCTATCAGGTGCAGCTCAGCTCCAGCTTCAGTTACATTCCCTCCTAGGCATGGAGCACATGGATACTTTGTCCCCTGCCCAGCAAATGAGCAGCACTGACACTGCTGAGTGGCCCAGTGGGGACTGTGGTTCCACGTGCTGTGCTTTGTAATCTGGGAGGGAATAGAGTTCCAAGCAGCATCTGACAGTATTGGAGGAGGAGCAGAGAAGGGAGGGGGCAGGCTATGAGGAGTTGGGGCTAGCAGGGGGGT